CATCCCTCTTCCTTAAATCCCTCCCCATTAACATCCCTCTTCCTTAAAATCCCTCCCCATTAATATCCCTCTTCCTTAATATCCCTCTTTCTTAAATCCCTCTTCCTTAAAATCCCTCTTCCTTAAAATCCCTCTTCCTTAACATTCCTCTTCCTTAAATCCCTCATCCTTGACATCTCTCTCCCTTAATATCCCTCTTCCTTAATATCCCTCTTCCTTAATATCCCTCTTCCTTAATATCTCTCTTCCTTAAAATCCCTCTTCCTTAACATCCCTCTTCCTTAAATCCCTCCCCATTAACATCCCTCTTCCTTAATATCCCTCTCCATTAATATCCCTCTTCCTTAAATCCCTCTTCCTTAATATCCCTCTCCATTAATATCCCTCTTCCTTAAAATCCCTCTTCCTTAAAATCCCTCTTCCTTAAAATCCCTCTTCCTTAAAATCCCTCTTCCTTTATATCCCTCTTCCTTAAAATCCCTCTTCCTTAAAATCCCTCTTCCTTGATATCCCTGTTCCTTAAAATCCCTCTCCATTAATATCCCTTTTCCTAAATATCCCTCTCCATTAACATCCCTCTTCCTTGCTATCCCTATTAATTAACACCCCTTCCTCTCCCCTCCCTGCTGCTCATTAACAGTTAATTACAGCCCTCCATCCCCCCCCCCCCCCCCCCTGGGAGCAGGGAATGAGGGAGGAGGGGTTGGAATGTCGCCCTGACCTCCATTCCCGGGGATTTCTCGCTCCAAAAACTCCCCTTGGAAGCTTTCCCCGAGCTCCTGTTTGTCCCTGGAGGGCGTCAAAAGAGGGATTTCAAAGAAAATTGGGGGTTTCCTGAGCGATCCAAGCCCCTGGAGAGGTCAGGGAAGGGGGATTGGAGGGGCTGCAGCTCCCGGAATCCGGGATTTCCCACCTCCGGGCAGGTGGATCCTGGAGGAAAAAAAAAACCTTGGAAAAGGCAATCAGGCATCCCTGAACCTCCCTGCCCCGGGTTTAATTAGTGAGGAGGACGAGATGAGCGACTAATTATCCCCCCCTGGCCGAGCTCCAGGAGGAACACAGTGTGCATTTCCGGGATTCTGGAATTTTTGACCCTGAAATGGTCCCTTTTGGGGGCTTTTGGAGGGATGGGATTTGGGATGACGATGGGATTTTTCCTTGGCAGGAGCTACTCCTCCCTGATGAAGGCAGAGAACATGTCCTCCAACCAGGTGAGTGGGAGCTGCTGATCCCACGGAATCCCCGGGAACAGGGATGGAATTCCAGCCTCCTGCCCGTGATCCCGCTGGGAATGACTTTGGAACTGGGAGGACACTGGGAGGACACTGGGGATCAGTGAGGCTGAGGAAATAGGGATAAAGTGCTCCCAGGTCTTTTCATCCCAAGGGAAAGAACAGGTTCAGGGTGAGGATGAACGGGATGCTCCGTCCCTGGAAGTGTTGGATGGGGCTTGGAGCAACCTGGGATAGTGGGAGGTGTCCCTGGACATGGAATGGGATGGGATTCAAGGACTCTTCCCACCCAAACCATCCTGGGATTCCAGGATAAAGGACACTCAGGATCCATTCAGAGGGGTTTTTATGGAATGTGGGGATGGAAAAGGCGGGAAAGGGGAAGGGAGACCCTGC